AACCTAATGGTACAATCATATTTAAAATATACTGATGAGTTTTGAATCAAATAGTCCTATACCTAGTTAATGATTCATATTTCTCTTTTTATTGTTTATTATATAGGAATAAAAGTATGTGTCCATGAATAAGTCCATATTTAAATATTAAAATTAGTTTTAATTGTAATAACTGATTGTTGAGGACAAGCCAATTCTCTCACAAGAGATAAATTGGTGAGCATGTCAGGGATTATTCAAGTAATTTATTGTCTTGAGCAACAAAATTAGGGAACTATTATAAAATTCTGCGAAGATTACAAAATATATATGATAAATGTATTAATAAAACATTTCTAAAGAGGATATAACTTAGAAAATAGTTTTGAAATCCATATACAAATCATGATATAGGTCCCAAAAGTACAGCACAGAATCACAGTGACAAAGATACCATGAAACTGGGAGAATACCATAAACCTAGTTTAGACCCTGTGAAATAAAGCCACATAGGTGCTCTCCTTTAATTTTTGATTAAGGTGTCAAAATTTTTCAACAATTGTTGCAGGGATACTATATTCCCATGTAGGGGATTAAATTAGACCTACATATCTTTGTCTGGAGGAAGCATATAATCAATCCAAGACTACAGTGTAAGACCCACAATACTGAAACTGTGAGAAGGAGTGCTTCCTAGTTCCAAGTCTTTGGACGTGAGTATACAACATGGAGTAACGATGGAAGCAAGGAAAGGTATTATCCAGAGTGGCTTTAAAGTGGAATAACAGGATACAGGTGGTATAATGTTAAAAATAGGGAGGGAGCTGTAATTGGAGAGGGAGAAAATGATTTCAAGACAAATGAAGAAGGAGGGAGGAGTCTAGATAACACTCTGCTTGTTTGATAGACCCTCTAGGAATCATATCATTTTATATTTACCTAAAATTATACATAATACATATGTATTATACGTATATAGTACGTATGATATACAAAGGAAATGAAATTAGGCCACTTGAGATAAAATGCTCCACACAAGCATCTTAGACCAACAAAATCCCCAGTATGAGAATGATACAATTCAAATTTGCATGGTTCATCAATGAAGTCCTAAATGTTTACCAAACAATATAGGCTATTGCTCTTGTCTTTTGATGCATTTCAAGATTGAAGGTAAGCCTCTATTGGTGAAGTTACTGCACACATAGGACAAGGAGTAGGGTTATTTGAGTTGGATCTAACCTGAGGACTATCTTTTTGTACAGCCTAACTTCCATAGGACCAGAGAGCAGTATGCTACTTCCCAATGGAAGAAAGCAATTAGTAGTCCTAGTTAGCTGTGACCCCTGTGAACCATAACAATGACCAGCATGGCAAGATATTCATAAAAGTGCAATCATTGTGGGCCTTAATAGGAGAGGATGTGTCTACTCTTACTGCTACATGATATACTATGACTGGTGAACATGCAGGGGAGCCCTGCCCTTTTTTGAAGAGAAAGTGGGAGGGTAGGGGATGAGAGAAGGCAGGATGGGGTGGGGGAGGAGAGAAGGTAGGTTGGAATACGAGAGAAGGTTGTAGGGGAGAAACTTGGAGGCAAGGAGGGTGGGGATGTTGTGATAAGGCTGGAAAAGCAAATGAATTAATTAATAAATAAAAATTAACAAATTAACAAAAGCAATCGTGGGACTTAGATGTTGGTGATAACTAATCAGGTTAAACGTTCTCTTAACTATGGAAAGAATCTACTACTGCTAGTTTACCGGTTTGCATAATTTCTTATCCTTATACTGAAAGATAAATGTAACTCTAGCTCCTCATCAAAGAAGATTCTCTTGCCATCTAGTGGCAACCATTACAGAAAACCACAACCACAGATTGTGGGTATGGCTACAATGAATATATCTTAATCATAGTGTCCCTATCTATAACATAGGGAATACTGTGAAGGAGTGACCAGATATATTTTAATAGTCATATTTCATGGAAATCTCTTGTGAGACTCTTATAGAAATGACTGCATAAAGAAGAGTTAAAAAATTACAAAGGTATACCAACACAGAAAGGGAAAATACCATGGGGTCCATGCCTGTGCAAAGAAGTATAGACAACTAATGACTGCTGAGAGAAAGAGAATTCACCTCAAAGAAAAAGAAGATACCAACTTGAGAGTGGGCTAATATTGGAGAGAATGGAGGGAGGAAAGAAGACAAGCAAATTAATTTTATTTTAATTAAAAGTGAAAAAATAAAAGATTTTCAGACATTCTCCTTACTTCCATCCCTATTTAACATTTACATGTTTCCAAGAGTAACTATATTTTCCACAGTTTTCATAATGTTATTAAAATAGGGCAATAAATCTAAAATCTGGTAACAAAGGAAAGATGTATGTTTCAAAATGTAACTGAATTTCATGTGATGAAAAGTGGGTATGAGGAAGAAGGTATTCACCTGGCTTGCTTGTTGGAAAGAATCCACCAAAGCAATTTTACTTTTATTCAGATTTGTTTCATAAATCACATGGGAATGAAAGTATCTGACTTAATGAGGAACTCTGGATATTAAACCCCAAGGGCCATGGAGACTACCTGTAGTCTGCTGTTGACCATCTGCTTACTAGCTTTATACAGGTAGTAGGTAGCTTTCCTGACCCTTCTCTTATTGACCACCATTTCTACACAGGGTCACAGTGCCTCTTTGTCTTTATTTGTTCCTCAGAACAAAGCTTCCATTTTTTCTCTGAGATATAGGGAAGAACTGAATGCCGGTCTTTAATCTTCAGGTAATCTGAAATCTCTCTTGTAATTTTCAGTACTATTGCCAGGCTATAGACCATAGATCAATTCAGGAATGTGTGGGATAAGGAAATGCCAGCTATCTGCATAATTTTCAGTCATCTCATGCTTACCTCTACGTATATGGCAACATTTGAACAGCATTCATTCTGCTAATTTCTTACATTAAATCTGAATCTCAATGCAAATATACTCTTCCTATATTCTGAAGGATCTCCCAGGTTTAACTGAATTTTAAATCATTTAACAATGGTCAAATTTACATAGTGAGTGATTTCTAAACTTTCATTTTTGATTTAGAAAGAAAAATTAATTAAATCTTGACTGACATTGTTCTTTCATGTTAGAAGTAAAAGCTGACTGCAAAAGGGTACATTAATATAATTTATTTTGGTATTTGTCAGATATTTATATTTTGAAAGTAAGAATAACTCTAAGTACAGACAAGAAAATCATATCAATATATGCCCATATTAAGCCAATTATGATACTTTTGCCACCAGATCTGCTTTTTATATAAAAAATCAAATATAATTATTTAACATATCCTTTACATTCCACTTCATTTTATCCTTCAAAGAAAAAATACATCATATAAATTAGTTATTCTTAATATATTATTCTAAATAATCCTACATGTTTTATATTTATTCAAGCATATACATATTAATACCAAATATAAATGTGCTTCTATTGGAAAAAAGATACGTGAATTATTATGCACACAAATAACTGGGATAAATCTAAAGATGTAGAGCAAAAACATAACATTAAAATCAATGAGAAAAGTATAAATAGGAGATACAACTAAATTAAAAAAGACATTATTCACAGACTTCAAAAGTTAAGTGCACTAAAAAATTTTAAGATAGTGAATACTAACTTCTGCCTAATTCATACATGAAATAGAAAAATAAATATGTGTCATTTCAGTTTTAATAACACTTAGCAGTAATAGTCAACATACTTTAACGTAATAGTTGATGATATTTTTATTGATTTCAGTATTCTGTGTGTAGTTAAATATTTTATAAGATATTATAATTATATTATTTAAAGTATTTAAAAAGTTTATTATGTTATTGCTTACTGTTAGAAAAATATGTATATTTTAGCACAATTATTTATGTTGATATGGCGACTATAATTCTATAACTAGGCATAATTATATTTACATGACAAATTATTAGCATCAATGTTCAATATTTTTCTTGCTTCTTTGTATGCATTATTCTCAATGGCAGTTTTAATACATGCTTCTTCCCTGATGTTATATATTATTTTGAAGATTATCTATTTTAATTTTTAAAAAATTTTTTACTTTTGAGATTACAATGTAATTTAAACATGTACCTCTTCTGCTTTTTCCTTCCAAATCCTCCAGTATGCTCTCCTCATTCTTCTTCAAATTTATGGCCTCTTTTTCATTAAGTGTGATTGCATAAATATATGTACATGTTTATGCATATATTCCCAAATACAGCATGTTCAGTCTCTATAATGCTACTTTTATTTTTTTGGTGAAGACACTTTCACAATTTATAACCAATTGGTGTGCTCCTCTAGGTAGAAGACCACCTCTCTCAAAGTATTATGTGTCAATAATACTTTGTATATGATGTCTTTTATATTGTCTTGACAAATCCATCACATCCCTTATATACTGTATTGTGAAAGGTGGTCTGATCACGCTTATGGCTTAGATAAATTACAGTAGACATGTTAAATGACTATTTCATGCCAAATGCTTCTATTAAACATTTTTATTTTGTTTTCTTTTCCATGTCCTTTTAATACTGAATTAAGATTTTATAATAGTTTTCTTTAATATGAGAGAAATAATGGAAACATCTGACACAAGTAAAATTATTTTTATGTATACAAACTTGATACTGATGCCAGGCTTAGATATATTTTATGTAAGATACCAATTAATTGTATATTTTTACTTAGCTTTTGTATGATTTTTATATTCCTGAGGCCTTGGAGAATTTTTAGTTTAACAACTATGTATAATTTTATTTTATTCATAATTAGTTCTAAAAGGTAAGGTGTTCACTAAATTAAATGAGTAGTAAATACAGTAGTAAAGAGAAGGATACAAAGAAAAGAAGTAGAAGGCAAAATGTGGGGAGAAAGAATGAGAGTAAATGTCAGAATGTGCTTGTACATTTGCTTGCTTGACCAAGCACCTGTATTTTACCCCTTCAGACTCTAACACATTATGGATCTAGAAAACCAGACAGGTGTGATAGAATTTTTTCTCTTGGGACTCTCAGAAGATCCAGAACTTCAGCCGATTCTCTTTGGACTGTTCCTGCTTATGTACCTAGTGACAGTCTTTGGGAACATGCTCATCATCCTGGCCATTGTGTCTGACTCCCACCTCCACAATCCAATGTACTTCTTCCTCTCTAACCTGTCCTTCACTGACATCTGCTTTAGCACCACCACTGTTCCTAAGATGCTGACAAACCTTCAGAGACAGAGCAAAGCCATCAGTTACACAGGCTGCATTACACAGCTCAGCTTTGTCTTACTTTTTGCTGGGATGGAAAACTTTCTCCTTGCAGCAATGGCTTTTGATCGGTATGTGGCTATCTGCACTCCACTTCACTACACAGCCATCATGAAATTCCACCTGTGTTTCCTGATGATTTTATTGTCTTTGTGTATTAGCATTGTGGATGCCCTTCTGCATGGTTTAATGATTTTGAGGCTATCTTTCTGTACATATCTTGAAATTCCCCACTTTTTTGTGAGCTTGATCAGGTCATCAAGCTTGCATGTTCTGACACTCTCATCAATAATATTCTTGTATATGCAGTGACTAGTCCATTAGGTGGTGTCCCCCTACTGGGAATTATTTTTTCTTACTTTAAAATTATCTCTTCCATACTGAGAATGAAATCACCAGGAGGTAGGTCTAAAGCTTTCTCAACATGTGGGTCTCATCTGTCCATTGTGTCTTTGTTCTATGGGACAGCTTTTGGGGTATATATCAGTTCTGCATTTACAGATTCATACAGGAAAACTTCTGTGGCATCACTAATGTATACTGTGCTCCCTCCAATGTTGAACCCATTTATCTACAGTCTGAGAAACAGAGATATCAAGAAAGCTTTGAGGAAAATCATCTGAATAACTATTTTCTTAATAGGGCATTGTAGCTTTGAATGTGACTTTCTGAACTGACAGGGATAACTAAATGGCAACCCCTCAACCATTTGTTTGAGTTAGAATAGTGAGTAGTTGGGTAAGGATGTTGAGCACTTTCTTCATGGAGGGCCTCACCCTCCCTGGGGAAATGAGGGGATATTGGAGGGGTTGGTGGGAGGGCATGGGAAGAGGGGAGGGAAAAGGAGAGGGACCTGGAATTGACATGTGAAGCAACCTTGTTTCTAATTTAAATTTAAAATAAAAATTAAAAAAGAATAGTGACTAGATACCAATATCTAAGGGTTGTTATTCTTGTATATGAAAGGTTATATTGTCTTCTCTGGTTCATGGAAATTTTGAAGGCCTATGTGGAAATTTTGAGATTAAGTTCTTGAACAGTATCGACAAAAGCAAACTCTGAACAAATAATTCTAGATATAATTATCTAGGACGGGTAATTCATTATATTCTTTACAGTATTATATTAAAAAAAATACATCAGGTGAATATTTTATTAAACCAAGTCTACTACATATGCGTGGATATTGCCATATTGTCTGACTTCCTTAATCTAGTCTAATAAGTTTTTAACGCCTACATTGATCTGAAGTTTTCACCAGAGCTACAATGCTGTATTGTCTGTGGAAACAACTGTTGAACTGAAAAAAAGAATGGAAGAACTGTGTGGTATTGTGAATCAATGCTGAAAGCTGAGGGTTCTTTTGTGACTGTTATATCTATTACAGCAATTCTCCCTGTACTTGCATTCACTATCCATGAAACCAATATATATTATGAATTTCATTTATTGATATGGTTATAAACTTTTGAGTTTCTCTTGCAAAGATAGCAGCAATTTACAGGTTATATGATGCCAGAAATAGAACAAATGGAGAGAAGGGATACTTATCTGAGAACCCTACAGGAGAACCTCCTATTACACCTTCCCTAACCCAGTATAATTTCTAAGCACATTCTAAATATTTATACTTATACCTACATATAAGTATAACTCTCACCTCTTATCCAAGAAACTTCTTTTTTCAGCAGATTAAGATCATTAGAGAAAGATACATCTAGTCAAAATGGAAAGAACAACTGCATGGGTGATACCAAAACTCAATACATAAAAAGTAGAACCCCTACTTGAAGGCTCAGGAAACATCACAGAGAGGATATGAATTTACAAATGGCAGATAATCTGGGCATCTGCTGCAAGACAGTGTCTCCTTATATGACAGGGAAGCTGCTCCCATGAAATATCAATAACGTTTTTATGTCAAGAAGACGTGAAAAATGATAATACTGTTAACATGTCAATATTGATGAGAGACATCTCATAAAATACAATTCTTAGATGAGGAGATAAGCTGTAGGAAGATTAGCCCTCTTTATAGGTGATCTGATGTCAAAGAGTCAGCCCCAAATGTATATACATATGAATGCCGTTAAATGAACATAGCAGATTTCATATATGTGTATATATATATATATCTGTGTGTGTACATATACATATATATAACATATAAATGATAATTAAAAATAAAATGCCATGATTTGAAAAGAAACAGAGGAGACGGAGAGACAGAAGAGTAGTGTCAAGAAGAAGATGAGATTTGTGTATCTATAATAACCATTTATAATATCTTCGAGAAATATATTAGAATGTTGTTACTGGATTAAGATAACCATCTAGAGTAAATTAGACTTCAGAAAGGCACATCCAGATATGTTCTACTCATGTTCATTCATGTTTGGTTATATCCTTTCTAAGACTGCTTTACCCTAATGATTCCTTGCCTGTTGCTGGTACAACAGATGTTATCAAAATCCTTTATTAAGAGAAATGATGTTCTCTAAAGATCACCGCAAATTATCCTTTCATATATCATCTTCCAGAACCTGGTATGTACTCATTTGTAAACAAATTTCTGGTTAGTTAGATGAGCTTAACATGAGTCATTTTTAGACATCATCCATATGGTTCATGACCATTACTTGGTCAAGGAATTTCCCATAGTTTTGTAGAAGCATTTGTTTGTGGAATCCACAAAGGTTGTTAGTGTTTTACAATCATACGATTGTTATATATTTCTAATAAGGTCATAGGTGATGTCAGCATAAATACTCTGGTGATTATTTTTGGGGTATCAAATCTGTTTTAGTATTTGATTACTGTTGCACTTAATTGTATTGTTGGAAACACAGCACAATTCTTTCTTGCAATAAATAATAAAACTAAATTTCATCAGATTTCATGCTTATCCTGCTTTTTTGACCATGAATTACTTTTGTGTCAGATACTTATTACATGTTTGCTTTACAAGTTTACTGTATTGATTATAGTTTTAATACATTCTATTATTCTGAGCAGACCTACTGACAAATATCATTGACACTAGAGTTTTGGCTAATGGTGATGCTTTCTGATTTATTACTCATGATAAATGTCTAGTTTTACTTCCTTCTTCAATCATTATATCTGGATTAATCATTCTAAAAATAAGGATTCCAGAAAATGAAAGGTTTTTAAAATAAAAATAACAAATACCTCTATATAATTATAGAGAGTTTTGCGTGAATGCATTAAAGTGCATGACAATTTGTTTTTTTTAAAGGAAATGTGCAAATGGAAGCTGAATTTAAAGTTGGAACTCTCAAAAATGACAAGACTCTCAGAAAGGTGTCTGTATCAATTAGTTACTAGAATAATTTTTCAGATATTTCCCAAACTAGCACACAGAGTCTTTTGTAGACAAACTCATATTCTACTAGTTTCTGTAGACCACCATCTAGAATCTAATTGTTCCCATTCCATTACTGTGTAACTGTTACATTACTGTGGTATTAGACAAGAGGAAAGAAGGTAGGGTAACATGTAGGAAATGAGATAGGGATGATATGTAATGTATGCATGTATGGAAATATTATAAAGAATGGAGTTAGCTTTGCAATTACAGATATTAATAATGTATAAATGCAATTTTAACAATAAAGGCATATTTATAATCAACTAATATTCATGAAAATATGACATCATTTACCAGACAAAGGATTTTGACTGGGGTTAGGTGAAGATACATTTCCAAGAAAATTAGGGCATACTAGTCTAATAGTACATACAAGCCTATTTATTTTAAATCCAATTTATATTTCTAATATAAATTTGGCAATGTTATTTTTTCCATGATAACAAATTATTTGACTTTAATTGAAATACAAAAGTTTTTAAATAAATTCGTACTAAAGGTGTCCTTATTTTGGTCCATAAATTGATGTGGGTAATTACAGATGTTATTGGTTCATCAAGAGATTTTCTTTAAAAACTGTAATGTTTTATAAATGCATTGTTTTATGGAACAAATCTTGCAAGGCATCAGGTCCCAGAGGACAAAGGTAGTAGAAGAGACATATGGTAATGATAAGGACCCAGATATATCTGGATTAATTTATTCATTATCTTTTATATCAGTGCTTGAATACCTTGATTACTCCAACTTAACAATTTCCATATACCAAAGCAGTTATTGTGTTCTCTGCAATTCAAGTAATCAAATTTTTCATTTGTTTAGTTTTGGTTTGGTGAAAATCCTAGAGAATTTCAAACATAGGAAGACAGATTAAAATTTCACAAGCTTTTCTGTACACTATGAACTCTCCAGAGTAGCAGGATAATACCAACATACAAAATAGCTATCAGATGTCCTTGCTCCACCTGCCAGCACTGCAGTCCAGGCATGCTTCCCTTAGGCCCTAATACTGTCTCTTCTCCTGGCAGGGTTATCTTATCAATGATTATATCTCAGTAAAGAAACTATGTGTATTGCTTTGTTCAATATGGGGTATTTAAAATTTTTTAACCTTAAATTTTTATAATTACATTATTTCTCCCTTCCATTTGCTCCCTACAAATCCTCCCAGTTAAATCTTCTTTCTTTCTATCAAATTCCTTGAGTCAAGTGGCAATGGAATATTCGGACAATACCTATTGCAGGCCAAAAGACTAGAACATTTCTGTGCCTCCTGGCCAAGGTTAAAAATAGAAATTGACATTACTTAAGACTCTACTGAGTAGTCAAACTGTTTAAGCTTGAAGAGAAAAATGTAAAGACAATATTGATTTGAATTTCCCAAGTTATGAGAATGCTTACCAAAATCTTAAATTATGTATCTTTTCATGACCATGACCCAGAATATTGCATATATATTATTTCCTGAAAGCAGCGAATACACAACTTGAAAACAATTCTTTCCTCATATGATGCTTATATTGAGTAAATCCCTGCGTTAGTAACACATAATACTCACACAGAGACATGACAGACACCACTAACCTATGAAGAAGAAGACAGAAACACATAGTGACAAGACACACAGTAACATAGGGACAGATATAATAATAAGACTAACTTCAAGGCACAGATTCAAATTCACAAAACAATTATGTTGAGGAATGAAGACACATGGAGCATAAAGTAGAGAATTCAAATGTGAACTCAATCTTTGTTAAACTAATCTAGGCAAAAAGCTTTTCTTTCATTCCTTAATGAAATGCTTATGCATTATTGGTAATTTAGAGTTAATCACTAATGCATTATAATCCACCCAGAATCTCTTTCCATTAATTTGTATTATATGCTAATATACATACACACAAATATTCTGAAACACATAAATTAAGTACACACTGCTCAATCTGTGTAATATAAATTGTGTGCAAATGTTTCAGAGCTTACCCCTAGGTCCTCCAACTGTCAGGTTCCACCTGGAGAATGTTCTAACTGCTGAACCCTGTGTACTAACTTCTGGACTCTCTCCCTACCCTGCAGAGTACATGCCCATTCTCTGCATTTGAAATTATACCAATATCTACCCTAAAATGCTTTACTCTAAAAAGTCCCACAGCCCTCCCCAAGAAACTATATATAAGCCCTGTCTTCTGTTGAGTTCTCTGCTGCTTCTTAACAGGGTAGAGACAGCCA